GTACTTTTTTAATAGATGATGAGAGTATGTATATTAGATGTAATTCTAAGAGAGGACCTCGTGGTTAAATTTGAGCTCTAGCATTTTCTTCCATGTCTTTGCATGTTGACATGTTTATTGCGTCAAAATGATATGTGGCTCATACTGGATGAGGATACAACTAAATCGAATAGTTTTTTCATGTAGCTTGCTAAATATGTTATTTATTCAGGTATTGCTGTTTGTGGCCAAAACTTGCTTCTCACGAACATGCATGACAAATTTTAATGGCTCAACAAACTTGACATAACTTTCTTTGATCTGGGATAGGCATGTTATCTCGTAGATTTTGGAATATATCTTATTTACAGACGATGAAAGTTAGTTTGGAAACTATGTGATAGAGTACTTTTTGATAATTTAAAGTTACCGTGCAAAAATTTAAACTATGATGTTTGTGTGTGCAATTTTAATTCAATTCTCAGCCCAACTCGACAAAACCCTATTCCATACTTATTTTGTGGCCAGTGATGTGTATCCTCCTCTTCTTCTCCCTCAATGTGGATCCTCTTCTGGTATATCCCATTACTATTTCTGATAATCTGCTCCCTTCAAGCTAATAAAAATAAAATCCTAAATCTTAATGAAGTTTTGAGTTCAAAATTTTGTTCCTATACATTCTGCTTTGGGGTTTTCTCCATGAATTTTCATAATGTATTTGGTGGTTTCTTTTTCTTCATAATTAAAATCATTTAGTTATCGAGCTAGTGAGCTTTGAATCATCTGCTCTATTTAAAATAGTGATGTTAAGAGGGGTGAGTTGACCAATTTTTTCCTGTGCGAGCCACTCGCCGACTCATCGGCTCATATCGGCATGTTGGGAGCTGGAAAACAAAAAAAGTAAAAAATTAAAATTGGATTTTTAATAGAAAACAAAATTAAAAAAGAAGTGCGAGCTAGCTCAGCTCGCCTCACCTAGGGGCGAGCTAGTGTGGTGGTGTTTTGGAAACGAGCCCGCTCATGCTCAACTCGCCCCATTTGCGAGCTGGCTTGCTAGGTTGGGTCGTTCGGTTTGTCCCACTTATCACGCATAATCTAAAACTACTATTATTGTTCCAAACAATGTATAAACAGTGGTGGAGATAGGGGTGGGCTGCCCAAGCCCAGCTTCTATTAAAAAAAAAAAAAAAATTGGTTAAAGCCTATTATTTTCCACTGTAGTAGCCCACCGTACCATTCATTCCTGGCTCTGTTTGGTACTTGTGGATACGTTACGATTTGGTTAATTTTATCACAGGGAGAAGGAATTAGCAGCTGTTAAGATTAATGCAGCTGATGTGGATATCATTGCAAACGAACTCGAGGTTAGTTTTCTTATATCTCAACTTCTTTCCATGATTATTTCAGCATTTTCAAATACTTTCTATGATCTGGTAAACAGCTTGACAAGAAAGTGGCTGAAAGAACATTGCGCGAGCACAAAGGTGACGCTGTTGCTGCCATTAGATCCCTGCTCTACTGATGGGTGAAATAAATACACGCCTTGAGATTTCTAATTTCAGGCAGAAATGTCATATGGTTCTCAAAACTTATTTTCTTGAAGTGGAGTGCAACTTTTTCTTGCTTGTGACGATCTGGTTCCATGCAATGCTCAATACTTGACAAGCAATGGAAATGTGAAAAATATTTTTAGTCGTGCTTGCGCGATTTTTTTTCTTGTTAAATGCTATTTATCCTTGCAAAACTGTTTTTTCTTTATTTTGTTCTCGTGAAAAGTAATTTAACCTTCTTATTTTATTTATTAAATGTGCCACCGACCGTTGTACTTGACGGGTAAGAAAGAGCTCCGGTAAGAACTAGAAGACAGACTCTTGTATGTATGGGAACCCTCTCTTCCGCTATTGGTGGACCGTTGCGCGAACTTCTCAAAAAAAAAAATTAACAAATTCTCTTAACGAAAATGATTCAGACCCTTGAAACTCGTGATTTTTTATTTTTTTGTAATAACTGAAGTGATCGATGTAGCCCTTCATAAATTTTGGATCTACTACACGAAGTAAAACTAAACATTATGAAAATAAAATTTTACTTTTTTCCGATATCATTCACATCATGTGCAATGCACTTTACACGAACCGTAATGTCTCAAGTACAAATAAAATGAGGGTATTTTAGATTGCATTTGTTTTTCATGGAAAATGTCAATTTTTCGTCCAAATTTCTACTTTGAAGCGTTTGATTGTTGTTTTTTTCCCATTGGAAATCTTTTTCAACTTTAAAAAATATGTCTAATTTTTTCTTTTTTTAATGAAAATATTTTCTTTGGGGGAGTAGATTTTTGTTTTTCTCGAAACAAGAAAAATATTTTATTTTCCATATCAATCAAACAATTCTAAATACCAACATAACAAATTTTATTTATTCTACAAATCTTGAAGATGGAATTGGGTGGGCTGTTTCCGCGAACTACTTTTTTGAGCAATTCACAAATATCCTTGGAAATTTTATTAATTCTATACTTTTAAACCTTTTTAATTTTAAAAATACATTTTTTTGTTATTTTTATAATAAACGCTTGTAAGTTGTAATATAGGCCTTGCTTGATTTCCATTTTTTTCAAAATATATTTTTCTCTCTTTTCTTTTTAATCACACTCTTCTTTAAAATAATATTATACATAAATCAATTTTTTTTTTTCTTTTTTAATTATACATTTTCCATCAATTTACTATTCCAAAATATATTTTTCAAAAAGAACGGGCTCAAACACTCCCATAGCCACCTATCACCACTACATATAATATCCAGTGTTCACTACCATCGCATTTGCTATACAATCACCACCACACTTCATGAACACCACCACCAATGTATATAACACCGTAGTAACCACCATCATCGACACCATCCATTACCATTACCACTACCATGGCCCATCCCTATCGCGAGTCACCACAACCCTTATGAACATCTACCCCATCACTGACACTCGTCGCCTCCACAAACACATTGTAATGTACTCCAACCTTGACTTCCATATACCAGCAAAATAATTATTATTCTTACGATAATTGGTACGCTTCGCCTTCAAGACTCCAGTCAAAAGATAATGTCATAGTCCACATAAAAATGTAAGTCAAATCTGGCGAAGTTAACGAAGACTCAATTGATCAAAATAAAGAAGTCAAAAAAAATGTTGATCCTCCGAAACACCCCCTGACCGAAGACCTCATAGACGAAGCTGGCACCTTTATCATCTGAAACACTAGACAAGTTGTTGAAACTCTGAAGTCGAAGCACTACATAAGAAGCTGAAGAAGAAGGCAAAACTCTCTGTCCCACGCCCTTTACACTGAAAAACGTCCAATATCAAAGCTCCCTTTGGCTGAAGCTCTTAATGTCTTTTAGAGTATCTACGGGTAATTTTTAGGTGTGATTGATGCAACGTTTGTAATAATGAATGTTAAGATTATCAGCCTAATGTATAGAGTGGCTGACCCGTTGTCAATGTGTTAAATGCATAGCAGACGGAGTGATGTGAGGATTTGGCTTGGGAGATGAGGCCACGTGGTTCTGACCCAATAGCTACTATGTCGCCAGAACTCTATAAATAAGTAACTCTTGTAACATTTGTGAATAATGCAACCATTTACAATTGAAACCACACTCAATCTTCTCTCTTGATTATTCTATATTTATTTGTTTGAATTTAGATTACTTCTACTTTAGTTGAGTTGTTTATGATTATTTGTTCACATGCAATTATCTTTGATGATATTGTTGGTATTCAAATTTTTTTGTCTTGTATTTTAGTGCATATCCCACGTTCATAATATCATCCTTCTCCACGTTAGATTTATACAAAAAAATTTATAGTTTAAGGTCACACCATTGTGTTTAGGGGTCAAAGAATCATATGTATAAAAATAAAGAATAAAGTAAGAATGCGTTTGGTTCGCCGTTTTGAGGCCATTTTCAATTTTCTAAAACACTCAAAGCGTTTTAGGTATGTTATATACAAAATGAGTTTTTGAAAATAAGGAAAATCTTACAACATAAAATTCAAAATGACTTTTTAACGTTTTGAGTGTTTTCATACTCAAAAGAAGGAAAATGAATTTAAACATTTCTCAAATTAAAATAATTCACATAAAACCTACCCAAATACAAATACCCATAAAACTAAATAATCATATATAAACATAAAATTAACATGTTTTACCAAATAAGCAAATTAATTGAAAAAAAAAATGTCATAAAACTATTTCTAAAATTTTAAAACCAATTCTAGTTTGTCTTGAGAACAGTTTTTCAAAATAATAAATCCAACGCTTTTTCTACAATCTTTAAATAATCCCTCAAAACAAAAATTAAACAGAAAATAGAAACTGAAACCAAACGCACTCTACTAATTTTGAGGGTGGTGGTCAGTGGTGATGGTGGTGAAAGTCATCCGGTAAATTGAGGTTGGGTTGGGAATTCAACCACAGTATTCTGATGTGCACTTGATCAAAAGCAGTACTTCAGAAAATAAAAAGGTTAAAAAGTAAATTTGGAATTTGGAAAAAAAAATTAGGTGGCATAATTTCCACAATTAAGAAGATGGAATTGAGTTGCCCCGATTCCGTGAATCCCAAGAAAACCATTTCACCGTCTTGACTTGAACTGTTTTCTCAACGACATTTCGATTTGTCCAACATTAACTAATCCACAAAATATATCAAGAATTAACATGCATGCACTCCGCTCAACAGAATGAACAATAAATGGTTACAGTATACATGGAATTCATTTAGTTAGATGCACCACCAAAATAATTTCATGATCTCTGTTAATTACACATTCTCTGCGCTACCTTTTCATATATGATACACTCTTTAATCCATCAATTGCCTTGTGTTCACAACAAGGCGCGCGCAAACCATGTTCTTGCCAGCGACTCATAGACTTTCCAGAAAAAATGTAGCCGCTGTACACCATACGAGCACAACTCGAGGTCAAACATGCACAGCTTCTAAGGGCTATAGTTCATTTTGGCTGCCATCACCAGCAATGGCACGGCCAGCCTGGAATTGTCTCAGCATATCTTTTAGCCTTTCAACTAGTTCTTGGAATGTCGGGCGGCGCTGTGGTTCGCTGAAATCAACAAAATAGAAAATATGCAAAATGATGAGGTAATAATGGTAGATGAAGGTTTGGCCTCTGCAATCAGAATGTGTAATACCATCCATAATGTGAACTTCGACAAGCGGGTATACCTAACATAAGGCTTCGGAAAGTAAAGAAGGATTTCTACGGGCATGTCATGTGCGTTTGTTGTTCTGTGAATTGTGTAAAAATCTCTTCTCAATTGCAATTCAATGAAAAAATAAAAATCTTTCTCATTTCCAAACATCTGTACCACCATCAAAAACTCGTGTATCTCATAGAACTATATAAAATCTACTTATCCAAATTGTACGATGTCATGGATCATGAAAAGCCACTAACTTCGATAGGTCGTAAATCATTTAAGAAGGAATTCAATCCTAGAAAGGTGATACGGCCAATACCAAAAGTCGTCCACTCTACATGCAAAAGAAATCCATTAGCAGCAAGCATGAACAAGACACAAACCTATGCCAGCAGCTCTCGATTATACAAGCCCATTGGGGAATGACATCCTTTGGTATCTCAAGGCGTTGGTTCATGAAACCCACAGCTCCAATCACCTGCAAATTCAGAAAGAAAATTGGTCATTCACACAAAAGACGGTTGCACTTAGTTCACCCACTCCAGAAGTCTATTCAATATGATTTCTAGATAAATTTTCGGAAATACTAGTTATACCTGCATTGAGTTGAGGTTATCCCAAGGAATCTTTTGGGTAGCAATTTCCCAAAGTATCACTCCGTAACTGTAGACATCGGCCCTGATCATTCCAAAGAAGAAGAGAAGTTTAGAACCAGAAGATCATCTCTTTTTATTAGAAACGTAGTCGAAACCAGATTTAATCTCACTATTCACTTGGCCATACTTCTCATCTGAGGGTTCATTACGAAGAACTTCAGGAGCCATCCACTGAGGCTGCATGGCCATAAATAAGTAGGTTCTCAATCATCTTTTGAAGCTTTTTATAAAGCATGAGAGACACTTAAAACAGAATGTATCAATATAACGACAAAGAAGAGTTATTGTGTCAGTTAAATACCGTTCCTTTCCCTGTCTTTGTTGTCAAATATGTTTCGTGTTTAAGACGTGAGAGACCAAAGTCGCCAACCTGTTCAAAACCAAAAGTTAACTTTCAACTCATCAAGAGTTTCTAAAGCACATGAATTAAGTGAAGACTTACCTTAACAGCCCAGTTCTTGTCAACAAGAAGATTTGAAGACTTCAAATCACGATGAACAATAGGTGGATTGAAACGATGGAGATAATTTATACCTCGTGCCTGTAAAATATAAAAATTCTTATAAAAACAATGAAAACATCATTTTCTAGAATTCGTTATTATCTCCACTTAAGGGCTAAAGAAAGCGTTGGATAAAACATGAGGATATAAAACGTTCACTACCTCTACAAAAATAAGGTATTGTTGGAGTTGAAGAAATTCATTCCAGAAATACACCTAAAGTTTCAAGGTACTTACTATATCCAAAGCCATGTGAATGCGTCGTCTCCAATCTATTTTTGATGTATTTCTTTGTAATAACCGGAACAAACTTCCACTGTATCAAACGAAAGGTGGGAACTGATATTAAACCAATCTGCTAAATGGTTAATGGAAGGACACTGAATCTTGACATAAGAACAAGTGAGATTGCATTAAGGAACAAAAATAGAAGAGAAAGGGAAGAATAGCACAAGTAGAATATACCGTGGAAGGAATTCTGTAACAATGCAAAGACGCTGAGGTGAAGTAACTGCACCCATGAAGAGCAGAATATTTGGATGTCGAAGTCTTTTCATAAGTGAGACCTTCAAAACCAAAGAACTCTTAAGGACATGCCTACACATGTGAATTAAGTTTCTTATTCGGTATTAATACCAATAAAATGCATAACAAGACTGAGAAAATGTACATTCAGCCTCTCTAGGTTACTTCATAGTATTTGATGGTACTAAACACTAAAATAAACAAAGTTTCAGCTTATTTTTCTTTCTTAATATTGTCCAATACTATCAAATCTACCTTACCAAGCATCTCATTAAAACATGGTCCAATTTTAAATGCAATTCAACAAAACACAAAATTTCTACCATTAAACCAACTTATTGACGAACAGCATGTATCACATGATTAGAACCTACTATAAAAGGAATCTTCCTTTTTTAACCAAAAAGAGTATATTAATTAAGCCATAGTGTGTAGCTTTTGCAACATGGCCTAAAAAAGTATATGGCTAGAAACTTTCGAATCCAAATAAAAGTACAACTCTAATAATATAGAGGAAAAATTGAACATTACGCTACTGAGAATAGATACCTCCTGTCTGAAGGAAAATATTATGTCATCAGAATATTCTTGTCTGGAAAATACCTTGACAGCAACATCCTGCATAAGATTATCATTTGTTCAATTCTCAGAAACAATGCACTGTACAATGTACATGCACAAGTACATTCCTTGGCTGGAACAACTTCCCAGTTTTAGAGTTATAAAACACATATCGCAGGAGTAATTGCTCACATTTGGCTAAAAAGGGATAAAGTAAAGGCTCTGGACTAATATTTAGTTAAAAAGGTTGGGTTATGATTTCCTCGTGTTGTGCCTAATTACTAATTTTTATTAGGATGGAGGTTATTAGAATGATAGACATCCCATATCATATACAAATTTTGTGAATTAATTGCTTTCATACATTATTCTGGACACAAAATTACCAAAAAGAGGAGCCAAAGAACATACTGATCCATACCACAGAGCATGATATACAGTTCCACAAGAACCTGCATACACGTAAAAGAAAGATGTGAGACATATATGGAAATTCAAGGCTAACGGGAATCGAAAGGCCACAGTAAAATGATAGATCACAACTTGGGTCGTGTTCCTTCATGAACTCTATTACATGAAATAGCAGCAGCAGCTGCTGCATACAGTGCAACTCTGATATTTTCAATTATGTAATACCTTAGATGATGTTATGATAGGCAAAGCATTACAGAATACATATAGACAGATGCAAACATGGAATGCACTTGCCTTGCCCAATCTGTTCTCCAATTGTCAAGTCCTCCCACAAGATTTCATAATCGAAGCAGTCGGTATCCAGATCAACTTTATTAACAGCACTGCTGCTCGTACTTCCATAACTACTAACACTGCTGGTGCTATTAACATTGGCCGATGAGGACCACGACCCTGGAGCATCATTATTAGCCGACCGATCAGTTTCACCAAGGGGATTTTCCGATTTTGAAGGGGCTCCAGAACTCTTTTGCTCACCTGACTCATTTTCTAGGTCATTGTGTAACCAGGGCCATACAAATCGAGAAGTCTTTGCTTCTGTTCCATCATCTTGTTCATTTCCTTTCCATGGCCAAGGCAAACCTTTCTTACCAATCAAAGCCCCAGCCTTCGAAGTAATGATCTTAGAAATCCCCGGTTTTCCTTCACTTTCATCACCAGATTCCCGGGACGGTCTGCCCGGGGAGTGTTCCTCATGGCTAGCACTGGAGAACACTCCAAACGAAGAAGGATGTACATCTCCTCGGGGTGTACTAGCTCCACTAGAAGCCGCATCCTCCCTATGGTCAGAGGAAGCTGCATCCAAAAAACCATGATCAGAGTGATGGCTATCTCCACTTCCACCTTCAAAATCCGAGCCATTCTCCCCGGACCTTATTTTTGACTTAACCTTGTTGCTCACTTTAGAAGCCTATTTCAAGATTTTCTTCAAGTCAACAAAAGCTACATGAGCAATATTAGCATAAACAAGAAAACTAGAATACTTACAAAATTTGATATTTTTGAGGCTATTGCCACTTGTAGAGGCTGCTGAGGATCAAGGCCAAGTTTGGATGAAGCAATGCTTCTCGGCCTGCTACAGCTAGAATCTGTTTCTAAGTTTTTGGCCCTAGACATTGCTGCTTTTGCTTCCAGAAAAGGTCTGGAATCACTTGATACACATATAATTCCCACCAAAGTGCCATCATCATCATAGAAAGGGGTGTTAGTCGCAACAGCTAAAAACCTATCCCCTCTCTTAGTTTTAACAGGAAACTGCCCAGTCCAACCCTCCCCCATCGCCACTCGATGCATTATGTCACTAGCCTCAGCAAAATCTCGATTGTCAATTAGTAGCTTAATAGCATCCTGCCCTAGAGCCTCTGCAGTTGAATATCCATAAAGATTTTCTGCGCTTCTATTCCTGAACAATATAAACATATTCGGCAAAGATTTATTATAGATTTGAGATTTCAATCTTACATTGAAATGATAACAACACTTCATAAAATCCACATGCTAATTCAATTCCAATAAGTTCTCATTGATCATATATGCTTGTGCAATGTGAACACATTAAAAACATTCAATTTGTTATCAATACTCCATTTTTGCATCCTTTTAAACTTAAAAAGCAGGCATTGAGGATGTTTGGGCAGCATGTCTCTACCAAGAAATGCTAAAAAGCTGATTTTAAGCATGGCTAAAAAACCAATACATTCAATCAAACAAATACACAAATTTAAACTTTCCAAGTTCAGTTCAATTGACCCACCAGTAAATAATCCGATAATTGAGATCACATATATGCACTGATTGCCCCATTGACTGTAATATGTTCAAGTACTGCCCATCAGTAAACTTAACCGCCGCCGGTCCTCCACCGTCACTCCCATGATCCATCTCCCTGCTATTACTCTCTCTCTGCAATGGCGACGACTGCTGGAATGGGGTCAAACCCCTCCTCCACAACACCGTGGCGCTTCCATCTCCACCAGCGGCCCTCCTCCGTGGAGCCCGCTGCGGCGAAACAGAGTGGGACCTCTGCCTTGGACGATGGTCGGAAGCATCTCGAGCAGTCGGTGTTGATAAATTTATGAGCTTAGACACCTCTTGTTTCAAGTGGGCATGGCCTATTTCTAGTTCTTCGATCTTCTTCAGTAGCTCCTCAGCTGGCGGCAGCGGCGCCGGATTTTCCGATGATTGTGTTCCACCATTTTCCATTATATTATTACAAAATTTCTTGACAGCCGTTTAAAATCTAATCCTGAAAATCATGAAAAATACCCAGCAGTGGCAAGATTTTTCTTGACAGCCTTTCCTCCTCCCGTATTCATATTCAAGAATGGTTCTACAAGTGATAAATTACTGTCTCTCCATATAGTAAAATTTCTTGACAAACCTTTACACCTAATCTTGAAAATCACAAAATCAAAACATATTTGCAAAAAGAAATCTTCAAAGCCCTTTCTCCCTCTGTATTCATATACAAGAAATGGATCTATGAGTACTAAATCAATGTATTTCCATTTTCTCTTGATGAAGTTGATACTATATGCGAATATGAATTGTGAATCTTTGTTAACTGGGTTGTCAAAGGCACCTAAATAAAGTTAAATAATAACCTTTGAGAGTTCAATGAACTACCCTTTCTCCCAACTTTTTTTAATTTTTACTCTCTCTCTCTCTCCCCGGCTACTTTCTCTCTCTACGGTCATTGGATAGGGTCGTCTTCACTTTCAGCCAATGAAAATAGTTTTAGACAGTCAATTTTTTTAAAGATCACTCTCAAAGTTGTTCCAAGCAAAGAGAAATTGCATCATTAGTCCTCAACCTATTGTCTAAGAGTATCTCCAAATTACTCTCTAATTATAAAGAGGTATACATAATAAAAAATATCTTTAAATTTAGAAAGAAAAAATTTATATACTTCAAAAATATTCCCTATTTTAACTCTTTATTTTATTTTTTCCAAAATATTTAATATTCTTTTCATTTTTAATTAATATATTTCTTTTTAGATGTTAATGTCCAATGAATTAATTTAAGTGTACAATATTCTTTGACAACAATGATCGATAATCATGTATTGTCAAAATTCTAGTATGTGATGTAGAAAATAATTTTTTTAAAATGGACGGATATGATGATGCCAAATAAAATGTTATCAATCAATGTTGTCGACCAGTATTGTACATGTAACATGATTCATATTCAATAGAGCAAAGAAATTTGCAAAAAAAAAAATATTACAGATAAATTGAAGTCGAAATCATTCCTTACTTCTAAAAGTTAAAATAAAATCTCTTGAAACCTATTTAAAATTGTCTAAAATAGAGAGCATGTTCCATTTAGAGAGTATCTTAGAGATATTCTAAGTAGCAAGTTAGTTTTCAATCAACTCTATAAGAAACCTAAATTGGTCATTCATTATAGTTACGCAATTTGTACCTAACAATGGAAACTAGCCAAATCTATAAATTAAGAGCTTGTTTGGTACAACTCAAAATCAAATTAAAATTGAAAATATAATCGTTATTGGGTCTCACTCATTCAATAAAAGTCAATAATAACGGCTAATTTTGCAATTTTAATCCGAATTTAATATCTACCAAACACGCTCTAAAATGAGTTTCTCTAAATTAAAATGTACTCGCCACTAGGTGAGTTAATTAAATAAATGCTTAGTAAACTTTCTTCGAGTCCGTACTTACCTACTTAACTAAAAAGATTTATGTCATTATGACTCATCTTTGAATATCTTTTTCATTCACCATTTTTTGAGAATTAGTTTCTTTCCCTTGATGAAGAAGTGCAATTGGCTTACGACGATTCTAAGACCATGTTTGGAAGGAATTAAATTTTTTTTCAGTAAATCAATTTTTATTTTCAACCACACATTCTTCAATAAAATAATATTTTCCATCACATCAATAATTTTTTCTTCTTTTTCAATCACACATTTCTCATCATATCATTATTCAAACTCAATTCTTCCCCCCAAAAATCTCTCCCAAACAAGCTCTAACTAACATTCAAATGTCATCAAATGAGTGCTAGTTATTATTTCCATTTACAAAGTAGACTTTTCCAAGTCACGAATCAATAAAAATTTGAATTGCCTTCGTCATAAAAGAATTTACTTGCTACATGTAGATAAATTGGGGGGCAATTGTGCAATTTCTCAAGTGATGAATTGTCATCTAATTATTAGGTTATCTACGTGGACGGGAAAGGCACGATGAGATGTGGCGCGTGTGACACTTTGTCCTTTCTTATTCATCAATTGAAAGGCAGAAAAGACTAATTCCAATCCACTTTCTATTTTCCCCTCCCTTCTCTTTTCATTTTTTTTTTTTATGACAATTTGACTATTTTAAAATATATTAATATGTAATTAATAAAGTGGGGTTCCCTTCAAGCATTAATTGCTCATTAATTAATTTCCCATAGGTTCACCTAATAAATTATTATTTAGCATATTCAATAGTACTAATATTAATACATTGAGTTGGGGCATTAAGGCTTTCCCTTAAAAAAATCATAGTTTTCTTGTTGAATAAATAGATTATAAGTTAGAGAAGTCTACAAAATACACGTATAGGATACGCAACACACTGTTTTTCAATATATATATATTTGACCAATGACATTTTGCACAAGTGAGGTTATACTCGTACCACATTCTTTTATAAATATATTACATTTTAAATTATTAACCTTTATTTATTAACGCACTTATATCCTTGATTTTTTTTATCACATTCTTATTTTAAAAATTTAATTGATAAAAAAATCTTGTCATTAATCATGATTTTCGTCCAAAAATTTTGTCAACATACTTTAAAATGAGGGTAAAATATTTAATTGCATTTTTGCATTATTATTTATTTTTCTTATTTAAAAATACAATCAACAAATGAGTCTTTTACTTTATCTTATAAAAAGTTTTAGAGAGAAATCATAATCAAGAAAAATTTGTGTTAATTTGATAATAAGAATGCAATGAAAAAAATTTGAAACATATATGTGATAATATGTAAATATTATGAATCTTTCATGAAATTAAAATATAGTTTAATTATTAAAATTTGTGGTGTAAATATATTTAGCATTTGCATAATGTTACAAAAAAAAAAAAACATGCTTTTCTACAAAAAACTACAAATATATCATTATAAATAATTAAACAGACAAAAATATCCTTAACTAAAATAACAAACCACAAACATTCCCTTATTTCATTCTCATTATTTTCAAAATTCATTTTTTTTCTTTTTTTTTTTAAGCCATACATTCTGCAATCAAATAATATTGCACGCAAATTCAAAATTTTTCCTTATTTTTTAACCACACATTTCCCATCAATCTACTATTTCAAAATACATTTTTAATAGAAAATGGGAACATTTTGCATGCTATTTTCTAATTCTTAATATTTCATTAGAATTTTTCTTTAAGCGATGTGTTTTTTTATATAAGATTTACTATTTTCTTTTCCAGTGTTCTAACATCAATACAATAAAAATTAATATTAATATTAGTAGATTAATAAATTATTGAAAATTTTGGAAAGTTCTTTATTTGACTATTCCAACATTGTAGAAATAAACAAAAACACTTAATTGCTTTAATCTAATCAATAAATTTTGTTTCAATGAATAAAAAGTAAAACAATCAATTAAAATAATTTTTAATATTTTTATTTTGTAGCTAATAATTAATTTCTTATTCATTTCAAATTGGAGAATTTTGCAACTTAAAAGATTGTTAAGAATAATGCATAATTTTATTGGTATATATTGTAGATATATATTTTGTTTTCTACAAAGCTTCATAAAAGAGGACAATATATAAATATAACTATAAAAATATATAATTTTGTGTAAAATATGGATTACACTTTTGTTTACTCGAGTCCACCCCCTCCCTCACATGGGGGTCAAATCCCACACATTTATTGGACGTGGGATCCGACCCCCATGTGAGAGAGGGGGTGAGATCAGGTAAACAAGAGTGTAATCTATATGGCATAAATAGCATAATTCTAATGTTTATTCATTGATATGTGAGCAAGCATATGAACAAGTTGTATGTAATGTGAATTCCTTGTTGATAAGTACTTGAATTCGAATGATGATAGGTACAACGAAAATCAAGTTTCCTTGTCTATAAATCTCTAGTGTATATTCAATTTCTTTGGTCGATACGAAAATGGTTTATTTAAGAGGTTTTGAAACTTATGCATATATGACTCGTACGAATACTTAACAGTTAAACTGACTTAATTGCATTAAAGTACTTGCACAGTCTAGATCACTATAGTATGGTCACTTTTTGATAAATCCATCATTTATAAGGTTATTTGACTAATCGAAAAATTGCAATTTAAAAATAATTTTACTTCTCCGTACTTTGAAGTATTGTTTTTGCCCCCATTAGCTTTGCTTGTAAGTAATTATACATGGAGTGAAAGAAAAGACTGTCAAATATTTAAAAATAACTTGAAAATATAATATCTTAATATTCTTATTTTCATTTACTATTTTAGTAGTTGGATCTTTGTAGTTTCGATTAAAAAAAAAAAAAGCTGTAAAATAATTAAAATTATGTTTTCAATATTCTAATAATATAAATTAGGATATAGATATAAATTTTGTCCACTTAATAAAGAGTATTTAAGTAATCTTATCGTCTTTTTTTTTTTTTTTACTTGTATTGATAGTATAATAAATCCTTACCCGTAAAAGTAAATCAATATTTAAATGAAATTTTTATCGAAAAGTAAATTTAAATAAATGAATAAATATGTCATCAGTCTAATGGGTCAACGTCTAAATGAGGTGGTTTAACATGATAGGATAATGCTAGAAGTACATCA